AAAAAAAAAAAAAAAAAAATAGTAACAACCAGGTATAGAAAGGCTTCAGCAGGGGTGAACATGGAGCTCGATGCTGAAGGAAAATAGTTCTGTGAACTTAGGTTCAAAGTCATTTTTATTCTGCTTGGGAACTGTTTTGGAGTGTCAGTGTTTCTGTGTTTTGGTGACCTTTCATCCTCCCTATCGCTGTACAGTGAGTGATGTGCAGATGGGGGAAATCGCAAGGACTTCTTAATTTCTTTTTCTGACTGAGGCACAGGCAGAGCAAGTGACTTGCATAGCAAGTGAGTAGTAAAGCTTGGGAAAGAACCCAGGAGTCCTTGCCCCCCAGTCTGCACTTCAGCCAAGACAGCCCTTCCCCTCCCTTCTTTGGGCTCCAGTCTTGTCTGTCATGTATGTACCTCATAGGGACATTGTTCTGCCAGAAGGGTTTACCAGTGTCTGACAGCTCCAGCAGGTGAAGCTGAGTCTTTGTGTTCTGGTCAGTCACTCAGAAATGTTTTGCATTCGCACCTGGTTTCTAGGATCTGGGTTCAGAGGCAGATGATGGCATAGTGAATCCCGCCTCTGGAAGTTGGGGGCCATGTCTCTCGTGCAGTCAAGAGGGCAGAGTCTTAGGTGGTGGGAGCTGTAGAAGAGCAGCACCTCACCCATACTGAAGAGACATGGAGAGAAGTGGCAGGAAGGAGGCCAGTGCTAGAAGAGCAGAAAAGGTAGAGAAATTGGGTGGAATAAGTCCATGGAAAGGTGTAAAAAGAAGGGTAGTGCTGGGAAGCCAGTGAAGAGGTAAGCAGATGCTGGAGGATGGAAAGGAGGAAGCAAGCATTAGTTTGGGCCAGCGGAGATGAGGGTGTCAGTGGGAGCACACTGGAGGCTTCATTACAGGGAGGCAATGCTGCAGAGGTAGAAGCAAGGATAACCTTGTGCTGTAGAGAAACCAGAGCTACAAAGGGAAGGTGAGTGGAAGGGTCTGGGTCAAGTGGGAAGAGTTAAAAAATGCTGCTTTGAGGGCCCTGTAGGGGATTGGTTGGGGATGCCACCCTTGTGATAACCAAGACCTCCCCTAGTTCCTCTCCCCATAGAAGGAGCTGCACAGTGCGAGGTGGGAGCACTAATGCTGTAAAAGTCCCGTCTACTCTGCTCCCAGTTGCTCCATCCTGAATGTGGGCTGCTCCGGCTTGCTCTGTGCTGAGCCTCTTGTCCTCTCCGCCTCTGAGGAGAGCCTGGTGGGAAGAGGCTTGTGCTGTGTCCTGACTGGTGCTGTGCTCTGCAGGGTAATTCCCAGCTGAGGTGGGGAAGGGGGGAAAGGCGGCAGTCATCCCCTCAGTTTTGCCTTCAACCAGCCGGGCTGTGTAATTCTCTGTGACAGTTCAATTCAGAGTGAAGCCGGCAGCTTCACGGTGGCAGACGCACAAAAGGTGAGCGCGCTGGAGCCTGAATAATGAACAGAGCTGCTCTCTCCAGCGTGCTGCCTGGGTGATCATGTGGGGGAAGGGACTGAATGCTGACCCAGTGTTTCTTCCCTGCAAGGCACTTGGTCCATCCCAGGCCTGCAGGGAAAGTCATGCATAGCCGGGTGGGTGTGCTGCCATCAGGCTTACAAGCTGCCAGACCATAAGCAACACACCAGATAGAGAGCTGTCTCCCTCCTCTGTAGTGGGGCTTGTGGGAAAAGGAAAAAGGCCAACCCATGTGGCAGAACAGCCTGGAAATGCAGTGGGAGCAGAGCAGGAGGTGAGGTTGGGAGGAGTGGTGCCCCCTCCAGGGGTGTGTGGTGGAAATACTATGTAGGGTAGTGGTCTCCAAACTTTTTTGATCGCACACCCCTATCAGTAAAAAATTTTTGCGCACGCACCCCCAATATATTTATATTTATATAAATATAAATAGAAGTTCTAATATTTTCTTCCTGCACCCCAATGGATCATCTTGTGCGCACCCCACTTTGGAGACCACTGATATAGGGGATGACTGGGGAAACATCATGGAAGGTTATTGGACAGTCCTACCCATCAAGTGTATTGACTCGAGGGAGTGGTCACCAAGCATCCATGACTCAACTCACCTAGCCTGACCCTGGGGCCTCCGTGTTCCTGACCCGATCCCTGGATAAGCCACTGCCATTCTTTGAACATAGTTTGCCACATCCTGCTGAAGCACTAAGCCAGGGTTATGCATAGGGGGTTGTGATGGAACAGCTAGTGTGCAGACTTCCCAAGGGAAGACTACATCAGGGTGGGTCTAGGCCTGATGAGGTACCCACAGGCTTCTCTCTGCTGGACTTGAAGCACCCTGGGCCTGAGGTAGAGTGGTACAGGGCAGCCAAAGCCGTCTGGAAGTGGTGCCGGCTCAGTGCCTCTGAAAATTGGGCCCTGGTTGAGTTACACCAGGCATCCAGAATCAGACGCCACTTTGGAAAATGTGGCTTTAAATGATGTCATTTCCAGAGCAGTCTTTGCCTGATTATTCCCACCCCCTTCCTCATCCACCTCTTCATAGTGTCATAGTGATGCCTTGTGGTACAAAGAATGACAAGAGGTGGTATAACAAGGTCTCTGCACTTCTGGTTGTTGTGCCTGGCTGAAAGCTGAGTCTCCAGCCACAGTCTTCATGGCTCCACCTGGTGGTGCATTTGTACTTCTTTCTTTTGGGGAGGGATGGAGGTGCCACCTTTTGGCAAAGCCACTGCTCATCCCCCAGGTAGAGGACCAGGTAGAGGTCCTTGGTGGGTGTATGGAAGCAGGCATCACTGCTAGTTGTACCAGTTCTATATAGCAACGGGGGCAGAGGGGGGAGTTTTTTGTTTATTGCTGTTCTTCTGTGGACTGTTACCAGTAGGGAAAACACTAGAGGAATTTTCTTGTTGGTCACGGGAAAATCAGGAGAAAACCTGCCAGGGCAGGGACAACCACCTTGCTAGGGCCTTCTGTTCAGACTTGCAGGGTTCCCAGATTTTCCAGAGCTAGGGGGAGCTGTTACTGAGCTGCTGCTGACATCATTATAGGTCCCCTCAGGACAAGGGATCGGCTTCCTGCAGAATGTCCCTAGGCAGGGCTCCAGAGGCAGATTTCAGATCTGTCTAATGGAGCAGCATTTGGGTTTGAGATTTGTTTTACCGTGGAAAGAGGTGTACTGGAAGAGCTTGAATCCTTTCTCCTGCTCCTGCACATCCCCAAACTGGCTTTGTTCCTCTTTTACCATTTAATCTCCTGGCATAACTAATGGGATGTGGGGAGGGTAGAGGTGCACCGATACATTGGTCTGATGTTGGATCGACACTGATCTAAAGAAAATTAACTGTATTGGAAATCAGCCTGATGTGGCCAATAATTTGGCCAATGAATGCTTGTGCATGCACACAGCCACAGCACGGCACGTAGGCAGCGAGGAGCACAGCCCAGCAGCTTGGAGAGCTGCTTGCAGCTGGTAAGTCTGTTGTGGTGGAAGGGGAAGGGGGAGGGAAAGGATGTGGGAGTGCAAATCAATGCCTCCACGTGGTGAGGGAGAGAGGGGGGCTGGGGCAGATGGTGCCCGGGTGG